GCCATCGCTGGTAGCATCTCTAGTAGGTTGGAGGCCATCGCTACTAGCATCTCTACTAGGTTACTAGGTTGGAGGCCATCGCTACTAGGGTGGAGGCAATCGCTAGTAGCATCTCTAGTAGGTTGGAGGCCATCACTACTACTGTAGGGTGGAGGCCATCGCTACTAGATGCAGCTCGCACCATCTCCCGTCCCTGTCCGCCTCAAATGCATCCGCGGGCGCCGCGGACGTCCTCACATGCTTCGGCCTTGGCGTCGTGGGAGCCATGGCCGTTTTCAGGTTCTGCGGCGGAAAATCAACAGTGAAAACAGGGTTGAGAGTAGTATGGCCAGGAGCTACTAGTAGCGTCCTTGCTCTTAGTACCGATACCCCTTTGTTCCTAGTAGCGTCCTTGCTCCTAGTAGTACGGCCAGGAGCCCCTAGTTGCGTCCTTGCTCCTAGCGATGCCAGGAGCCACCTTGTATCTGGCCTGGGAACGGTGGCATTTGAGAATGCACCCTCAGAACCGCTCTGCTGGAGGGTGCGTTTCTTCGTGTTTTCCTCACAACCAGAGTCTTGATGTCAAGAGTATCCTTTCCTAATTACTGGCATGTCTTGGAACACGCAATACTTCAGAACAACCTCTGAAAGAACCACATCGTGCAACATCTTGGAACAATCGTTATCAGGTTTAGACTGCTCTCCTCCGATTCATCTCGCCCAGTGACCCGCTGATGGCACTTCCGTCGTAGCGGAGCCCATTGCCTGGCGGAGTTCGGTTGTGGTGGCTATGTGACTCAAGAATTGGAAGACCCACCTCTCCCAGGTCTTTCTCCAACCTAAATAGCAATGGCCTCCAACCTAGTAGCGATGGCCCCCACCCTAGTAGCGATAAACTCCAACCTACTTGCGATGGCCTCCACCCTAGTAGCGATGGCCTCTAACCTAATAGCAATGGAGGATAGGTGGAGCATGTTGACACCACCTATATGACTTGACACCACCTGGCGATTGCTCAAAAAGGCAAGCGCATCTCACGGAGTACACTGGCTGTGTGTGGCAGTAGGTCCACCACAGAGTTTTGTCACTGAATGAAAAAGCTGGACCTCAGATCCAAGCGATTCAGCAGCGTGTGGCAGTGGGTCATAATACACAGACTAATACACAGGAAACTGTCCACAGTCTGGAGCTTAATCGCGTTTGGGCCGCGCTGTAAGCTCTGTGCACGGTGCCCGCCCCCCTCCGTTTGGGGGCAAATCTCCGACTGCTGGAAGCAGCTTCCAATCCAATGAAGTGGGATGTTGCACTTCTGGCCAAACCAGTCGTTCTCTAAGCAGGTCGCTTCTGTGCCGCCACCCCACGCTTCGGTATCCTATGAAACTCGGAACTCATGACGCAAATTGAGTTCACACCTGGCCGACACCCACACGAACTACCATCCCCAGCTCTTTCTTCCAAAGTGGGTTCCCTTTGTCCTTGGGCTGCACACGTTTCATGGAAAACACCAACGAAACCATTGTTCCATGGAAATCAAACCTCTGCCACCTCCACTGCCACCTCTGCTTGGTGACATCGAACCAAAGTGAGACAAATGTCGGACGACCCGCCTTGGAGGCTTCGGAAGGGTCGCGCCTCTGCTTCGGCCAGGAAAGAAGCAAAAAAAACTCAGTTGAAACGACGCCCCAATCGGTTGAAACGATGTCCCAAGACATGTTTCACGGTGGCTGCAAGCCCTACAAGAAAGGTATGAGATTGAGTCAACAAAAGCATTCTTCGCGTTATACTATGGTGCACATGATTTCCGTGTGCACTTGCCTTGCTTGCGCCAGTCCGGTAGTGGGTCAAATTCTCCTTAAGTGGGGGATGGTCATCCTACCCTTAACAAGAACCCCGCACAAAAGTCTGCCACCGGAGCCAAAACACAAAACACGAGCAGGAGCCAAAACTGGTGTTGCTTCGCGATCAGACATTGAGCACGCTCGAGTGTTTCGAGCGATGTGTGGATGAGGTTGAGATGAGCCAAGACAAGATGGTGACCAGACATGTCCGGGGCTGAGAAAAGGTCCGTGAGATGATGGGAGGAAACAAACAAGGGACCTAATAAGACAACAGTTTGGGTTTAAGTGACCAGCTGGAATCGTAGAATCGTAGACGAAATGAAACTAAACATAAAACAGCCTTGTTTTCAACAATCCGTCCACTCCCTTTGGCTCTTCATCTATGGCTATTCTTAGTATTACTGAATTGCTTACAACACCTCTAGTCCCTTGTCCGTCTTTGGCATCTTTCTATTAGTCTGTATGCTTCTCTTGTGTTGTTCTGGCCATAGTGCCCCGCTGCCTCAACACCGAGCGCGCGTGTAGCACGCAACTGCACCTGAATGGCAGTGGTGCACTGTGAGTCAGAGTAGAAGTTGATGTTGTTCACCACCTTGGGCGGAAGTCCCCAGTCATGTCCTCACGTTTTTTGGGCACGGAATCTCATGCAGGAAATGTTGAAAAGTTCGGGTGATTTCGACACATTTCTGCCATGTCCAGGCAATTAGGTGATTAATGTTTCTTCAGGGTCGACTGCATGTACCTTAGGGGTGCACTATGCCATTGGGCCGTCTGGGCCCGCCCAAACCAACCCCCACAGCGCGTTGTGGAACCCCTGGCTTCTCTCCAGGATTGAGGCCTAAAACAAACCCCAACTTGCCAATGATCCTGAACAAGCGCAAACTTGGCAAGGGGTGAGTGGGGTAAGGGAAAACAAAAATGAACCAAAGCGAACCTGCTGGCAACCTGCAGCATCAGACCAGTCCACCAATGCGCGCAACATCTATCAGCTGAATGCGCCCACTTTGCCCAACACAGATCGGCAAGATCGGCAAGGACGCCGGAGCCTCAACTCCTTGAAGGGGCAAGAAAACTCGTCAGAGGGATGGAAAGCAAGACTGTGAAAGCCGTCAGTCTATCGAAATCAAAAGAGAGCTTTCAAAATCAAATCAAATGACTTTCCTCTCCAGAACTGTTTAGGACTTCATGTCTACAAAACGATCCTTACATGTGACATTCCTCCGAGGCATGTCGTGCCTTGCAAAGAACCAGGTACCCAGGATCTGAAGAGCGGAAGCTGCAAACCAGTCCGGCAAGCAACGGAAAGCGAGAAGCGAGCGGGCGCGGAGCTAGCGCTGGTCCGCAGATTTCGACGGATTTCGACGGACGTCGACGGAGTTCGACGGCTTTCGATGGTTTTCGTTTGCGTTTCTGCAGCGTCACTTTTTGTGGTCTCCGCACGGGCATCGATCAGGCCACCAGACTCTCAGTGAGCACTCGTTTGGGACAAAGTAGGTTTTTCTTACGGGTCTCTTGGAGGGGTGTGTGTGTGTGTGTGTGTTTGTGTGTCACTAAGGGCTACGAGTAGGTACATGCACATAGAGAAGTGTGCACGAAAAGCCCACGTCAAGGATGGAGGTGCGAAAATTAGAGGCCTGAGGCGTGAGTGTGTGTGTGAAACAGGGTTCTCTGGCGCCGGTTGCTGGCAGTGACTCTGGCCTCAGTCAGCAGGCGCTGCGTCGCTTCTGGCAGTGACCTTAGTGTATACGTCCATGGCGTGTTCGATAGTGGGGGAGTGTAGGTGAAACTCTGTCAGGGTGATTGGAGATCTTTTGTCGGTCGCACACGTTCACATGCCTCGCGCTTACGGCGAGATGGAGTGTGGGCAGGAGGTCGTCCGAAGTATCACTTCGCAAGGGCGACCAAATCTACAACAGTCCACTGAACGTCACTCTTCCATGTGCGTGGGCGGATGGTGGCCTCCCACGTTGTGTCCGCGGTGTTCTTCTGGTTGAGGGTCTCGAGGAAGGCAGTTTGAGCGGCCTCGTCGTTGTCGCATTTGGTCCACATGGTGGCCAGATCATCGAAATTCGTGTCCGTGAAGCATGCCAGGAGGTCTTGCCAAGCGGTGATGGTGAGCGTACCAGTCGAGTCCTTGACCTGGAGGGGCAAACGGAGGCGGTCGCCGTTGTCGCCGCACCAAATGTTCATGTGGAAGAGGCTCTCGGTGAATGGTACGATGTGAACGTGGACCTTCATGGCGGTGTCGGCGGCAGTGGTCTCTTTCACGGCTGCGATGGTGCTGATCGTCAAGTCGGCGGTCTTCAAAGCCTTCTTGGGGCGCTCAGCGCTCGGTTCTGGTACCTGGGATGTTGTTCGTCCGTGCAGAAGGGGTAAGAAGGGTTAAAATGAAATAAGGTCACTGGACTACAAGCAAGGTGAATGAAGGACATTAGTGAGTCGACGCGGGGCCTTCAGCCAGCTGGGAGGCGGCAAACACCACGTAAGGCGGGAAGACTCGAGGGAAATGAGGCCCATCCACGATCGCTTCTGCACCGACATGACCAGCAAGGGTTGTCCAGTTTCGAAAGTCGCTCCAGACATGCTGCCAACCATGTCGATGGGTATGGTCTGGTCACCTGTAGCCGGGTAATGGTGGAAGAGTGCGTCAGTGGTATATAGGGGTTTTAAAAAAAAAATATATATATATGAGTTGTCAGTCGATGTTGCAGTGCAGTCCAGGCGCCCCATTGCAAGCAGATGGTACGTCTTGGAAGCGCGGGCGGTTTGACCGGCGACGGCGCCGGTCCGACGTGTTGGAGGATGCCGGCGACGTTGAGGGGTTGGTTCTCATCAACTTGGTCAAGGCGTTCGGGTGGAGTGATGGGTTGTGGCTTTAAGATCGTGTCCGGGATGCCGTCGAGGACTCGCTGCACTTGCGTGCGGTATTGAAACCGTAGGCCTGAGGAACAGCAGGTGGAAGGTAGTTAAAAATAGAAGGGAGTGAGTCGTATGGGAAGAAGGTGTGACAGAAGGGACGGGACTAGAAGAGTTTAGTTTAGCAGTTTAGCCGAGAGTTGACCAGTTGGATCGAAACAGGGAACAAAAACACGTTAAAAAAAGACTTATAGGGTCACGAATGCTTGTCAAGTTGCAAAGATCGCTGGCGATTCCGGTGTAGGATTGACCCTTGTAGGCACGGACACAAGATCGCTTCACCAGCACACTGTGGGCAACGCCATGTGGTAAGGCTTTCCACTGTTCGAAGGCTGCCTGCCCGGACGACGGTCGAAAAAGTGCGGCAACAAGGGGGTGGTTCTAAACGTGGTCCGATCGCGATAGTCCCGGCCTTGTTCGCAGTGATTTCAAGTTCGTCTCCACCACGTGTAAGGAGGCGTGCGACGAAGGTGCGCTCCTGCCATTGCTCTTCGATGCGCGACGCAGTGATGCGAAAGATAATGGTCTGCTCCGTCTTAAAGAGGGAAAGCGCCATGGCGGGCGAGGGCGTGAGTGTACGGCGTGAACGGATAGAATCTGCTCACTAATGGCGGCGGTATGTGGTTGGCGGGTGAAACAACGTCAGCGCACGAGGTTCAGTGTAAGCTAGCTGAGGCGTGGGCTGTTGGTCATATGTTCGACGATGACAAAGGCGGCAGCGCCGTACCTGTTGGTGGCGAGGTCTTGGCTCTGCTTCCCAGCGCAGGAAAGATGCTGAGGTGTGGGCGGATGTTGATCAGGTCCGCGAGGTTGTAAGGTGCAAATGGCTGTCCGAGACCTGTCGATCGTGGGCCGTGAAGTGGAGACAAGCGGCCGGCAGCAATGAGGCGTGGCAGACGTACCGTTGTAGCTGCGGGAGCACTTCCCATTACTGGCACAAACTGAGTTCGGAGGCATGCCAACCCAGTCCGCGATGTGGCCAGGTCCGCGAAAGGAGAAGAGACCAGTAGATCTGCGGGTAACACGGCGTCACGTGCACGATGTCGTCAGGAAGTATATGGCGCAAGTCTGACGCGGCTATATTGTCCGGGGCAATCAATGTGAGGTATGGCCAGGGCGGCGTGGTCGCGGTAGCTGCGTGCAAAGGTAGTGCAGTGACCTGTTGTAATTGGCTATCTGTATTCACGATGGCCTGGATGGCCTTCTGGGGGCATGAGTAGTGAGTCGTGTGTATGTCTGAGGAGACGTGTGTGTGTGTGAGCGTGTTTTTGCGTATGTGTGCATGGTATATGTTCACGTCGGTGCGAGGTTGTAGAGGAGGATGTAGTGTTGTCGGGCAGCCGCGTGTACATCTTCTATGGGCTGCGGCGGGGCGGCGTCATCACAAAGAAGCCAACCTCGCGTCGGATGAGAGACGACGGTGGTGTAGTGCCCGTGCGTGAGAGTGCCTGCGTGCAGGACGCTGGCGTAGAGACGGTAGCTTCTCTGACAAAGATGAACGGTGGTGGGGGCGTGAATCGGGCGGCTGTCTTTGTGGATGGTGCCACCATCAGGGGGCTGGAGCCATCGACCAATGGTGATGAGCAGTGCGGCGCCAGTTCGTGTCAGTGTCGTCTCTTGCGTGGATGCGCCGGTTGCGCCGCACTCGGGACAGCGTCGGTCAGGAACAGAGGCGGAGCTCTGTTGGAGGTGAGCTTCCAGGCTGTTGCTGGATTCGTAGCACATATCTGCGGGGATGTGAAATGGTAAGATGTGAGTAGTCGTGTTGCACGACGCAGAGCATCTTTGGCAAGTGATAGTTTGGTTTGCCTCGGCTCCAAACGCAAGCCAAAAAGGTGTGTTTCGGATGTGGTTGGGGTTCGACGCAAGTGTCTCACATCTGTGAAGGTTAGACAGGATGGCCATGAGGGCTTCGTGTGCGTCTTGGTGGTCGGAGTTGGCGAAGGATGGATTCCACGCGCCGCGGGTCTCCGCAAGACGGGGGTGGAAAGGTTCGTGCTCGCTGCGAAGGGATTGGATGTCTGCGGCAAGTGCCGGAGCGCAGCACACACTTGGTAAGTGCGTTTGACAGCCTAGGTGTTGCGTCAACCACGTTTGCAGGGCAGGGC